GGTTTAATTTAAACCTTTCTTGTTTTAAATAATTTGTTATTGTTTAATAAGAAAATAAATAATTAAGTGGTAGAGGAAAATAAATTAATATTCACTTAACTTTTCTTCTCTTGGACAAGCTTCTTTAACTAACTTATTTTTTCTCATCATATCTACTAACTCTTTTAATGAACTAGCTTCATACACCTTTGTTTTAGAGGATAATATAAATTTAAGTTTGTCTTTAGAAGGTGAAACTCGTTCAATTCTAGAATGTGTAGTTTTTCCATTTGTTCGTTTAGTAAGTGTAAAAGGATATTTTGGGTCAGTTGTTGAGATTCTAATCAAAAATGTTCCATCAACTCTACCTTCTAATTGAGCTTGAGATTGGTCTTTTGTAAATGTATTAAAAAACCAATCTGATTGTATTGTTTCAATCATTGACTTAAACACATCTTTAGATTTATAAAAAACACCAAATAAATGAATCAAATGACCAAAAAAGGCTGTTGAAACTTCATTGTTATCACTCAATACTTGTTCAGCTATGTATTGGTCGAAGTCTTTTATTCCATGTGTCTCTTTTAATGCATCAATAAAATCAGAAACAGGAACAGTTGTTTCAATATCATTCCCTTTACATGAAAAATATTTTTTCCACCAAACAGAAGCAGATTTTTTTCCAAGAGTATATGACAATTTAGCTTCATCAACCATATCAACCATTTTATTAATATCAATTCTTTTTGTAGGATCATGTTCCCATGCACATTCCATAATTTTTTCAATATAATCAGGTATGACTTTTGCAAGATCTCCATACTTTTGGTGCATTTTCATTAATGTACTTGCCATAGCCTTTTCTTCTCCCTTTTTGATCACTCCTTTTTCAAAAGTATTTGGCAAAATTGGTCTTCCTTTATTAGAAATGAATGTTCTGAATTTATCTGGGTCTTTTAAGAATTCTTCAAAAGGTAGTCTTTCATAAAACAACTCCCACATAGTAATAGCAAGTGCATAGACATCAACAGCTTTTTCACATTTTTTCTCCCAAACTTCCGGAGCACAATACAATGGAGAACCTTTGGCTTGTTTAGTCTGATTAGTATCTATCTCAGCAAATCCAAAATCACATACTTTAACATGAAATGAAGTATCAATCAAAAAATTAGCAGGTTTAATATCTCTATGAATTAAATTCATACCATTATGAAGCCATTGAACTCCTTTACAACATTGCTCAATAATATTGAGTTTAAGTTCAGTAGTTAAAACACAACTATAAATTTCTGGATGAAGTGATTCATCTCGACGATGAATTAATTGAGCAAGATCACCAGCAAGAAGTTCAGTAATTAACATAACTCTTCCAGAGTCAATTGATATACCAATAAATAATACAACATTTGGATGATGACATTTTTTCATTAAATCCATTTCTGTGACAAATGATTTAAGTTGGTCAGCACTAAATTTAGTTTCATGAGAAACTTTTACAGCAACATTAAGACCTTTAATTTGAGCACGATATACTGAACCAAATTGACCTCTTCCAACAAAATCTATCTCTTCGTCATAAATAATATCAGAAGCAGTTATCTCAAGGGAGGTTTTAGCAAATTCATCTAATGCCTAAATTAATGAATTAATTTTGTCTTTTAAATTATTCTTGTTACATTGGTTAATTAATCAAAAAAGTATAAAGTCTAAAGTTGACGAGTAATAAGAACAAACACTACTCATTTTTAAAGTAGAACAATGTTTTTAAGATCTTTTTATATGTTAAGACAACCAATTATTTAATTGTTTTCTAAAAAATAATAAATCAATTTTTCATTATTTCCTGAGCCTTGTGTCATTTTCTTCTTAATATTTTTATTTAAAAAAGCTAGTTCAAAGTAACAAAATCTTTAGAAGAAACAAAAAGTATTTGATAAAAATAGGTAATTTTGAAATTTCATTGAAACATCTTTAAAAATCATTTTTTAATTTTAGAGAAGCAAAATGACAAGTTTTACATCATATTTTAAGTTAGATGATGATAGTATAAACAAAGTAATAGAGTACGTAACAATCGAAGATATTTTACCGCTTAAACTTATTAATCAAAGATTTTTCTCAGCATTAGAAAAAATCACGAAAATTCCTGATTGTCAAGGAAATTTTACACAAAAAGCATTAAAATTGTTCCCTAATGCAAGGCAGATCACTTCTCTTCTTGAAAGATATGCTGATATAATTGGAGATGAAGAAATTAATCCAGAAATACAATACAATATTATTTATACTCCAAATGATGTTCCTTATATCCCGTATTTAGAACAAATCTCAAGAAACATTTATTCCTTAACTATTCCTTCTCTGATTCCAAATTGTGTTGAGTTATTGCCTATTCTTCTTTCAATGAAAAAGCTTGAAATTTTAAAAATTGATGCATCAACTTTATTTAAGATATCAAAATACCTTGCAAATGTATTAAGTTCACTACTTTCACTTCCTTCAATGAAACTAATTAAGGTAACTTCATTATCATTAACGCTAAGTGACCATCAAAAGTTAATTAAATCTTTATTTTCAAGTAAGTGCAATGACAATCTTAACATTTATATTGAAATTAATAGAATTCAAGACAATAATACTTTACATCAAATAGTGGAAGTAAAACCTTCAAACGTTAAACTAGTTATTGATTGCAATGAAAATTATGATAGCCTCTATGATTTACTTTATGATAATAAAGTATTTTATTCTTTTAATAGAGTAATCACTGGCATTGGATGTACAGTATCTGAAGACTCTGATGATGAAGCAAAATATAGAGATTATCTTAATTGTTTGTTTATGCGTTATTTTCCAAGAGCAATATGTCCTAATTGTGTAATGAATCTTAAACAAGTCTCAGAAGTTGAAAATGTAACTGTTTTATATAGTGTAAATGAAAATTTACTAAATAAAATGTCAGTTCTAAAACAATTAACATTAAGTGAGCAATTTGGTGAGAGGAAAAGTCATTATGATTTTAAGGGTTTATCAAATTTGACAAGTCTTAAATTAATTGCGTTTGAGTCTAGAAAAAGAATTCTCAAAATTCCTAGTCGTTTGAAAGAATTTATTTCTTCGGGATTTATTTATGATGAAAATGACATTGATAATGATGGAATGAAGGGGTTTGTTAATTTAAGCCAACTCACTAGATTAGAAATTTCTAAGTGTCAAAGCATTATTTTAAATTTACCCTCTTCTTTAAAAACACTCCAACTACGAGACTTTCCCTGTTTGGTTGAATTGCCTCAATTACAAAAACTTCAATCATTATCAAGTATTACTATTAATGATTGTCATTCAATTACATCACTAGCTCTAGGAGATAACGTACGTTTTATAACATTAAACAATTGTGCTCAAATCCAGAGTATTGTTTCTTTTAAGAAAGATTATAAATTATTGACTGAGGCATGTTACCAATTATTATAAAAGGTTATTTGTCATGTAAAGCATAATAACTGAAAAAGATTAAAAAAATCTAAGAAAATTTTTTCATCTTAAAATTATCAAAAGTTTATTTATTAAAAGAAAGAATGAATCGTACTAAAATGACAAAAGCAATGATATTACCAGTTAAATTTATAGTTAACTTAGCAAAGCATAAACAAAGAGTTTCTATCTGGTTATTTGAAAATACAGCGTTAAGGATTGAAGGAACACTATCTGTTTGTTTATAATATTAATTAGAATAAATTAAATAAAACATTGGTACAATAAGACATTCATTTTTTAAGGGATTTGACCAATACATAAACTTAGTTCTCACAGACACTGAAGAGGTATATTTAAAAACTAATACTAGAAGAAAGATTGGAACAATTTTATTGAAAGGAGAAAATATATCAGTTATAAGTAAAATTGAAGTTCGTTAAGAGAAATAATTGATTGTTGATTGAAACTATGTATTGTTTTGTTAAAACTATTATTTCATGATGACCAAAATACAAAAGAAACCTAAAATAAAGACGTAGAAGGGTTTATTATTTTCAGATTGTTGATGAATAGTCCAGTTCACCCAAAAGTTGAACGGAGAATCACTTTGTTAGAAACAGAAGAAGAAAATAGTAATGGAATGAGTGAAGATGAAAAAAAGGAAGAAATAGAGAGTAGTGATGAAAGTATATCTGTTGATATGGATGAAGAAAGTGGAGATAATGATGAAGATGATGTAAACGTTCAAGAAACAATCTCCACAAAAAAAGAAAAAAGTTTAAAAACTCAAGAAGAATTAGGTATTGGTAATCCAGTAATTCGTCATTTAAGAGAAAGAGACCAAACAAAAACAAGAGTTCCAGTAGAGGCAGACGATGGAAGTATGAGTGAAGAATATGTAGAAGAAAAACAAGATAGTGAAAGTGAAGAGTTAGAAAAAGAAGAAAGTGAAAAAGAAGAAGAAAGTGAAAAAGAAGAAGAATTAATATTAGAAAGACCAAAAACTAGACTAAGAGAAAGAAAAAATATTGAGATGATTGATTTTGATAGAGAATTTGAAGGTAGTTTCAAAGTATCAAAGAAGAAAAAAATTACTACACCAGTAAAGGCATATAGTCCGATATCATATTTAAGAGATACTATTGACAAAGTTTTAGATTACAGAAACAAAAATGGGAAAGAAATTGGATTTGAAGAGATACTTAATTTTGATTTTGAAAATAATGCAGAATTTGAAATTAAATGGATGAATTTTTCATATAGACATAACACGTGGATTAATTTTGAAGAGAGTATTGAAATGAAAGGAGTTCTTAAAGTAAAGAATTTTATAAAAAATCTTAAGAAACAAGCAGAACTTTATATTGGAGCACCAAAAGAGGATATTGAAGCAATTAATGTAGAGATGGAGAGTCAAAAAGAAGTTATTGAAGGATATAAAAATGTCGAACGTATTATTGATGAACAAGAAGGACCAGACAAACAACTTATGTATTTTGTGAAATGGGTTGGACTACAATATGGTGAATGTTCATGGGAAAAAGAAAGTGATTTAAGAGAAGAAAATGACTTAAAAGAAATAGAAAAGTATCACAAAAGAATTAAAGAATGGGAAGAAAAAAAAAGAAGTACACCTCTACCAAGAAAATTTATCAAATTTGTAGAAGGACCAGAAGTAAAAAATAAATTAAGAGATTATCAAATAGAAGGAGTAAATTGGATAACATACGCTTTTTCTCAAAACACTAACGTCATTTTAGCAGATGAAATGGGATTAGGTAAAACAGTACAAACCATTACTTTTATAAAACATTTATATGATAATTATAACATTATTGGACCATTTCTTGTTATTGTTCCATTATCAACAATTAGTAATTGGAGTAAAGAATTTAATAAATGGGCACCTAAACTTAATTGTGTTGTTTATACTGGGGATGGTGAAAGTAGAGCAATTATTAGAAAAACAGAAATGTTTGGAAATAAAAAAGGAACAATTAAATTTAATGTTCTATTAACATCATTTGAATTAGTTATAAAAGACCAAGATGTCTTTAATCAATTTCATTGGAAATATACTGTTGTTGATGAAGCACATCGTTTAAAAAATAATGAAGGACAATTATATGAAGTATTAATGAGAACTACAACCGAAAATAAATTATTAATAACAGGAACACCACTTCAAAATACCTTAAAAGAATTATGGAGTTTATTACATTTTCTTCATCCAAAGAAATTTATAAGTTTTGAAGAATTTGAAAAAACATACTCCGTTGAAGGAACAGAAGAAATAAATAAAATTCATAATGAATTAAAACCATATTTATTAAGAAGAATGAAAAAAGATGTAGAAAAATCATTACCACCAAAGAAAGAAAGAATATTAAGAGTTGAATTAAGTCCAATACAAAAACAATATTATAGATGGATTATTACAAAAAATAGTGATGCATTAAAGAAAGCAGTACAACAACAAAAAACATCATTAATGAATATTTGTATGGAATTAAAAAAATTATGTAATCATCCAATTTTAATTAATGAATTAATGAATTCAGAAAATGAAGAAAATCTTATTCAGTCATGTGGTAAAATGATTTTATTAGATAAGTTATTAGTAAAATTAAAAGAAACTGGACATAGAGTTTTAATATTTTCTCAAATGGTTAGAATGCTTGATGTATTATCTAATTATTTACATTTTAGAGGATTTAATTATCAAAGACTAGATGGGGCTATGGGAAGAGAAGCTAGACAAAGAGCTATGGATCATTTTAACGCAAAAGATTCTACAGATTTTGTATTTTTATTATCTACAAGAGCAGGGGGACTTGGAATTAATTTAACAACAGCAGATACAGTTATTATCTATGACTCTGATTGGAATCCACAAAATGATTTACAAGCACAAGCAAGATGTCATAGAATTGGTCAAGAAAAAACGGTTAATATTTATAGATTAGCAACTGAAGGAACTATTGAAGAAAAGATATTACTAAGTGCAAAGAAAAAATTAGTATTAGACCATTTAATTATTCAAACTATGGAAAAAAAAGGAAAAAAAAATGGAAATGAATTATTTGATAAATCAGAATTACAAAAAATTCTTCAATTTGGTGCACAAGATATCTTTAATAAAGATAATGGTGAAAGAAAAGAAGTTAATATAGATGAAATTTTAGAACGTGCTGATGTTGAAGAAGGAAAAGAAGAAAGTAGTGGAGTAAATGATTTATTAGGTGCATTTAATGTAGAAAATTTTGCTATTAGTGGAGGAAATAATGTTAATGAATTTTGGAATTCAGTTATTACTCAACAAGATAAAGAAGAAGCAAGAAAATTAGATGAACAAATACTTGGTGTTATTAGTAAACCTAAAGAAGAAAAAGAGAAAATTGAGAGAAAGAAACGTAAAATTATTGAAGAGATAGATGAAAAAATAGTAAGAGGAGTACTTAGAGGAATGAGAAGATTTGGTTTTGCAAGAATAGACGATATTATGACAATTGTACGTAGTAGTTATAAAAAACAAAATGATAATTTAGAAGAAATTGTTCGTAATTTAATGGAAAGAATTATTAATGCTTGTAGTAAATTAGAATCAAAAGGAGGAAATGTTAGAGAATTAGAAATGTATGTTGAAGGAATAAAATTTCTTCCTTTTGAATTAGTTACTAAGAATGAAGAAATGAAAACAATTGGTATTCTTGTAAAATATATGAAACGACATAATAATCAATTACCATTTGAAATTAAAAAACCACAATGGGCAAATGGATTTGAATGGAAAAACGAATATGACCAACAAATTGTATTGGCAGTTCAGAAAAATGGAGTTGGAGTTTGGAGTGAGTTAAAAAAAGATGAAAATAGTGGAATTGATAAAATTCTTGCTGCTGGAGCTACCATAACTCATATTCAAAGAAGAGCTGAAACTATTATTCGAGAAGGAAAAGATTTGATTAGAAGAAAGAAAGTACATAAAGAAAAAAGAAAAGAAATTAGAAATAAGAAAAGAGCAGAAGAAGAGAAAAAAGAAGAAGAATGGAAAAAAGGAATGAACCAAAAAGTTATTTTAGAAAAAATGAATGATGTTAAAGAACAAATTAAAAAGTTAAAATATATCAAAACTCATCCAAATCTTGAAGAAAAAATGAAACAAGATAAAACAGAAAAATATATTCGAGAAATAGGTAAATTTATAGAACGGTCAGACGAAGACGAAAATATTAAAAAACAAATGTGGTACTTTGTTTCAACGTACACAAACTTAACTCCACATGAAGTTATTGAAATTGGCACTGAACAACATTCCAGAAAACGAAACCAAAATAAAGATGATTATTTAGACAAACGAGGATTGAATTAAAAATATGAATACAATAATTTAAAAATAAAATAATATTTCGAATAACATTTTTTACTTTTTATTAAAAAATAAAAAAAGTTAGGGTAAAAATAATTAAATTTGATAAATAGAAATGAGTGAACATAAAAGCCATTATAATCATGATAAAGACAAAATTTGCTTTTATTGTAGACAGCCTGGACATTGTCTAAAAAACTGTCCTAAAAAAGCAAAAGGAGAAGATTCAATTTGTTATAACTGTGGAAGTCATGACCACATTTTAAGAGATTGTCCTGAACCAAGAACAGGTAAATTAGCGTTTTCAACGTGTTTTGTTTGTCATCAAATGGGACATATATCACGTGATTGTCCAAATAATCCAAAAGGAATTTATCCTCAAGGTGGAGGATGTAGATATTGTGGTGATGTAAATCACTTTGCAAAAGATTGTCCAAATAAAAGAAAAAAACAAACAGGAGATGATGATCAAGATGATTATGTTAGCAAAAGAGATATTGAAGAAAAAGGATTTAAAAGTGGAGATGGTGATGAAGAGAAACCTATCAAACTTACTAAATCAGAACAAGATGAAGTCCCAAAGAAAAAGAAGAAGGTAATTAAATTTTGATTGAATGTTTTATATCACCAAATATATGTTAATAGTGTTATATAAAACATGAAAAAAAAGGAATTTAAATTAAGATTATGGGAGATATTTTTCTATAGTTTGAACTAATGTATATTTTACGTTAGCTGTTTCAGTTGGACTATTTAACCAAAATACTATTGCTCGATCTTTTTTAATACGTTCACTAATAATAATTCCATGAAGAATGATAGCCATTTTAGATTTATAATTAAGTTTTGTTCGTGTGATATAATTAAGATTATCTATGTTATGATTCAGTTCACGAAGAACACTTATTTCATCAAGTAATTCACAACATTTATATTCAAGAAAAATGTCACAAATTTTCTGTTTTCCATTTTCACGTACAAAGAGAATAGAGTCATTAAATAAATAACAAATTCTTTTTACTATTGTTTTAGTATTACTCCAATAATGTACATTAAATGATTTTTCAAGGAGCCTTCCTTGAATAACAAAATTTCCCATAGCAGCATCATTTAGTCCTTCTACATTATTTAATAATTCCCTTAATGTGGTCATATCTTCTCGTTCACCAACAAGTCTATTAATTTTATCTGTCATACGAGTGATTTTATCAACTATGTGTTGTACAATAAATATGTTATTACTAACTAATGGTGTTCTTTTAATCATATCCTTAAAAAGTAAATTATATCGAGGTATTCTTTGTTGTGGGGCAACCATTAATGAGGAAATGTCATAATGTCGTTCTGATTTTTGTGTATTAATATTAAGAAACGTATTAAATGCTTTATTTTTGAGTCGTTCTTCTTTAATCACTTTTTGAGCCAAAGGAAGATTATAGATATAGTTTTCATATATCATTAAGAAATCACAAACATATGAAAACCAAAGACAAAATTTGCCAAATCTATCTTCTTCTTCTGTACGTTCAATAGAATTAATAGTACCATAATACCGTTCAAATCGATGTAGAAAAATGCAGTTAATATGATAAATTGGAAGAACTTCCCAAAAGATAGTTTTATATTGTTTTTCTGTAATTAATCCATTTTTTTGTAAAGGAATCATATAATTATTAATTAACTCTGCAAGGGTTTCAATATATGATTTTTCTGTCTCAATTAATTCTTTTATTGGTGCTAATCTTCTATATAATGTATTTGTTAATTCACTTACTCGTTTAACTTCACCATTAACTTCTCTTGTAACAAGTTTAACTCCACTAATTGCTCTAGAAGGATGTAATGATTTTAATGTTTTTTTCACTGAGTGAGAATTACTTTCATATACTTCAGGTATATGATCACCAACTGAATACGTCTTTTTAATTCCTTGTTTTTTTTCTTTTTGTATTGGTTCATTTATTTTGTCTTCTCCAGGAATATACATAGGATCTTCTGAATGCCTAACAAGAAGGTTCATATGAAAATGTTATTTGATTTTTAAGTTTTTAATCCTTTAATTGTTTAGTTTAAAAGAGAAAAACTGTTTTTACTATAAATAATAGTAAAAAGTGTTATTCTTTTACTAAAAACACAACTTATTTTTTAACGTTGTTTTTTTCCTTTTGCTTTGATTTTTGAATATGGCTTATTCGAAATAATTCCAATTCTTAAAACTTTATTTTTTTTTTTTTAATTTTATTATTCATTTTATTATTTTCAGATCGAAGGTGGCACGTCTGAAACA